TCGAAAATTCGCATACGAAATTATTTCCTTGTTTGGTAGCACTTATCAGTGCGAGCAGTTATTTTCAGTCATGAAAGGTAATAAGCCTCCTATCAGAAACCGTATTAATGATGCTCACCTTGGGTCAGCATTGAAAGTTATCACTGCAAACAAAATTTCTCCCGAAATAGGAAAGATATTAGCAGAGAAGAGATGTCAAGTATCAGGACGTAAACATTAAATTTTTCTTGTTCTTTTCTATATAAATATATATACTGTCAAAAGTCGTTAATTTGGACTCGTAGGGACTTCGGCGATTCCGGATTATAGATCATCAGTTTAAATATGGTAAGATGGCATGCAGAAATTACAAAATTAAAAATATGAAACCGTAATTTATAAAATAAAGAACAATTATGATCTAAAAGGTATCAAAATTTACAAAAAGAAAAAGCTTAATATTTATTTGTTTACTTTACTAAATATTTCTTTCAACGTAAGTTGTTTAAGTTGCTTCGTTTCATGTGATAATACTTTCTCTTTAATTCTATTAAACAGACATAATTTCTTGTTCAGTTACAAAGTTCCGCTGTTCAAGTCCTATAACTGCTGTGTCGAGAATACCGACTAATTTGTCAATAGAAATTTTTTCGTTTTCAATAACCTCTGTCACTTTCTTCGCTATCGGAAGCGAATTATAATGACGAGGAATTTGATTTAAATCATATCAAAGACGGAGTACATCGAGATGAAATACTACATTTAGTAAGGAATTATAAGCCAAATAAAATAAAAACATCTGCCCTGAAGACAAGGATAGTGCTGACAGATCAACGTCCAATTCATTGCGCGCCACGGCGTTCCCCCCGCCGTGCAGCGTGAAATTGATAAACAGATTTCGGATTTCGAAACATACTTTCGCTTTAGATCCTTTACATATTAGCAAATATATATCGGAAATTCTATTTGACATAATCGAAAGTTCAAGCTTACTTTTATAAAATTACTCTAACAGTCTGCAAAAAATAATAAGCCGGATCCAATTCGAAGATTAAGGAACAACGCAATCTGCAACATTAACTGAATTAGATAATTTTAGCTTAGCTTATACTGTCCGTTATACATTAAACGCGCATGCGTAAACGTTTTATGCGCATGTGCACACGCATATTCGCAGCCGTAAAGGTCTTACGGGGACACGTAAACGCCTATGTGCGTGCGTCAACGCGACGCATGCGCAGAAAGTTTGTAGCTTTGAGGTCCGGATTATAGATCATTCCGCATTATGGGTGTCCGAATTAACGACTGACTGTATATGTTTATTATTGTATTATTTGAAATAAATCTACGTTTCTATGAATATTGTTTTTTTTTTTTTTTTTTTTTTTTTTTTTTTTTTGCGGCCCGCCTAAAGTTAAACCTTGTTTGTTTGGCCCAAGTGTACCTATGAGTTTGACGACTGTACTAAAACAATGTTATATTTGCAAACAAGTCACAGTTTAATACATTTAATTTTGGACAAATTGCTGTGTGATGAAAGCAAATAAAAAAAAATCATTAAAACTTATTGTCAACTGTTAATGATGAAGGTGGTTTGGGGATGTTTCGCTACCTCTGCAATGGGAAGTATAGTTTTTATAGAAAATAATATGGATGAATATAAATATTAATGAAAACCAAAAGCTTGTGCAAGAGAACTTGAAATACAAATTATGTTCATGTTTTTTCAGGATGATGATCCTAAACATATAACCCTAAATGTTCACTCGTGGTTATTATACAACTGTCCTGAAGTTGTCAAAACTCCGCCATTTTCTCTAGACTCATATGGCTTTGCTGAACTATATTACTGAACTTATATGGAACTCCTACTGGACTTATATGAATTGAGTTGGAGAAAGAATAGGGGAAACATGATATTTGTTTAAAAGCTCCATTAAAAGCAACTCTTGCAGAAGACCTTTAGTATAAAACACAACATCCTTACATAAAAAAAAAGTTAGTTGAATCTATGTTAGAGTTCATGTAAAGTGTAATCTTAGCTAACATAGATCGAACAAAATATTGAATGTCCCAATACATATGTTTCTTATTAAATAAAAAATTTAAAATATTTCAATACTTATGTGATTTTATTTTCAGAAATTTTTTAATAAATTACATTTTTACCAGAAAGCTTCGAATAACATTTCCCCAAACAAGTGATTTTTAAAAAACATGATCAATAGTATACAAGGGGGGGAATAAAGTCATTTCATTAGTATTTAGTAACTGGTATGAAAACAAAACTGGAAAACACAAGTGTCTGAAAATAAATGTGAGCCACCCTATATATATATGTATACACATACTACCAGGGTTGCCACTCAAAGAGGAGAATGAAATTCCCTGACTTTTCCAGGTTTTCCACGTATGTTTCGAGAAAATTCCAGTCTATTTGCGTAATGTACGTTGGCTGTGCTAAGAGGTAAATTAATTATGGTATTACTTGTACTGTGTAGCAAATTCACTTAATTATTCAATAAATCCCAGAGGACATTTATTCTTAATTATTCTTGGTACACTTTGTTTGATAATTTTGTTTACTTTTCCGCTTAAAAAACTTAATAAAATTTAAGATATATACATTGGATAACAACTGAACGTTTTATTTAATTATTACTCATGATCATCCCCAGTTCAACATGAGGCTAATCCGGTTCTTATAAATCACAACGCAATGCTAAAAGTTAGGTTAGATTTTAGGTAAATTTAATTTGTGTGAGGTGTATTCTTAAAAGGCACCTTAACACTTGAAAACACAAATATAATTATAATAGGAGTTGTTTTCTCCACTGAAGATTGAAATTTGAATCTGCCCAATCTGGAATAAAATAAGGCTTTTTTTGCAGACATTCTGCAGCTAAACGAAAGAAAGAAATCTATTTAATGATATTTTTTTACTAAATTGAGGTATTTTATATTTATTTCGCAGCATACATAAGGAAAAAAATATGTGCATTAAATTTCGTGATGTCATCATACTGCTAGAATTAATTTCAGGATTATGCCAGAGAAAATTTCCTGAAATTTGGAAATATTATTTACTAATGATAAATAAATTTAGAGAGAAGAAGCAACATTAAATTATATGAATAACATAAAAATAAAGATAATTACTTAAAAATTTAATTAGAATAATCAACGATATTTTAGCGAATACAGTTATATATGGTTATATTAGATGATTGATTACTATTTTTTTATTTTACTGCAAAATGACAAGGTATTTATTAAAAAGAAAAGAAAAGAAAAAAAAAAGATTTTGCGGTAAAATCCTAGTATACGATACGGCCTTCGCGTGATTTTGAAAATTGTCGCCAAGAACAAAATGACCCGTTTACTGCTCATCATCATGTCGCCAAATCCCGCTGTACCATACATGGAGATTATTCTGACTAAAGAACATCTATGTAAAAAGCGGAGGGAAAATTTGCCAAGGGATTTGACGACGGAACGGCCAGAATTTCCCTCTCCGCGATGTGTACAGGAAATTGAGAAACACATGTTAAGAAGAAACTTTCTTTGACAAAAAAGAAAACTACGAAAATCCGTTTTTAAATTATTGCGAAAAATCCTAGAAGAAACGTTTTATCAAAGAACGTTTTTTCTTGGATTTTTTGCAATAATTTCAAAAACGGATTTTCGTAGATTTTATTTTCCCCCCGTCAAAATAACTAATCCATGAATTAATTTACTTGCGCCAAAAAATATTTTCTTTTCCTTTAGAGTTTAAAGACATTTTAAACGATATTCATTTTATGAACTCTTGATAACGTGACCTTCGAACTTCGACACCGGTTTCGAGCTTTGGCGACAGATATATCGTGCATGCACAGCTGTTTCCCGCTATGATGGAACCGAGCCACGTCTGTTGCAGAAAGGTTTTCCTTCTTTACAATACATATTTTTTAACTCTAACCTTCATGGTACCGTATACTAAGATTAAACCCATTTTGTTTTATACGAGAACAGGTATTTTCTTTAGTTCATGCACTGCACATGCGATTCTCGAGGTTACTGGAAACCAATGTTGCGGGAAACTTGCTTTGCCTTTCTAAAAGACAATCAAATTGGAGCTGCGAAAATTGGCTCTATGCCAGCTGCCCGAATGACACTCGCATGATACACAATTCGCCAAAAAAGTGATCTCTTCCGACGTCGGCGCAAAATTCGCCTTTTTTGGCGGGATCGTTGTATGAAATTCCCTGACTTTTCCAGATTTTGACTAAAACACTTAAATTCCCTGACTTTTCCCTGAATTTTTTGGTCAATTTCCGAATTCCCTGACTTTTTCCAGTTTTCCAGGTAGCGTGGCAACCCTGTACTAGAAAATTAATTTTTTATGGACTCTTTCCAGTGGCCACAATTCAGCAGCTGCTACTAGAAAAGCTTCAAAAATCCACTATACTTCTATTCAAGCCAATGAATCATTGAAAATGGTAAGCATAATGAATATTTTACAATGAAAAACTAATATATTGACGCAATGCAAGTACAAAAAACCAATCATATCATTAACCATTTGCTTTTCACACTCGCGATTTTCTTCCGCCAATACAGAAATGCGCCAGATCCATTTTCTCACTGAGGCCACTACACGTAGTAAGTACCAGAAATTCCTTATATAAACTATATGTTAATTCTGTACATAAATAAGTATATTAAAAGAATATGCATATAAATAACAAAACTTTCTTTCTAATACTGTCAGTTGCAGGAAACTTAATTAACAATTAATACAGCTCACTATTTTACAGAAATCTAATTCAGAAAATGTTTTCTAATCTCTGTAAAAAATATACAAAAAAAGAACAATGAAAATTTATTCTAAATATTTATTTCATGTAAAGTTAGCTGAAACTTCAATAAATGTATGTAATGGTTAAAAATCAATATTAAATCAACGAACATAACAAACTTTCATCCAAATGGTACAACAAAACGTAATCAAAGATTTGCAAACATTTAAATATGCTTACACAGTAGTAGTTGTGCTTAAAACGGCAGATGTAATTGCTGCTGATACAGAAGATGCAGTGGAAAGAGATGTTGTAGTACCAAAAATTGATGATATGCTACTAGATGAAGTAGAAGTAGAAGATGAAAGCCCTGGAAATGAGAAACTTGCTGTTGTTGTTGCTGCTGCTGCCATGCTGCTAGCAGGTGTAAAGGAAAAAGCTAAAAATATTACAGAAAAATAATCAGCATCATAAACAATTTAAACCTTCCATACTATAAATATTCAATGGTAATATGCAGTCTTACATCAAAACAGATTACCCATTATAATTAAATCAAACACAAAGCTTCGAAAACCAAAATAATTAACCAATACATAAGATTGCAAAATTCATAAGTTTCAGAATTCTACTAGCAAGCAAATAGCTAAAATTACGTGTAATTAAAGATGGATAAGCAACCAATTCAAATAAATTTTAACAATACATTGAAGGAATTACAAAACTCATCCCCCCTCCAAAAAAAGAAAAAATCTTTCAAATATAATAAAGACAGAATTTTTTAAAAATTCAGTAAAGTATTTCACCTCAAACTTACTTAAGTTTACTTTAAAATTTTAAAGATAATATGAGATATCCAGTGACAAACAGATGAATAAACATTAGGTCATTCATAAACCTTAGAATAACATTTACTGAAGATGTTCTATGCATTTCTACAGAGTGCTTTTTTCTTAAAGATGAATGCAAATCTTATCAGTTTTAAAAAATTAAAATGTTTTCAATTACTGCAATCATTTTCACCCAAGGGGAAAGAGAATGGGGAATTAGCAGATTTCTATGAAAAAAAGAAGTAATATTATTTAACAAGTCTAAACCAAAATAGCAAAAACACTGATTATTTTTCCTGAATAGAAAAGACTTGAAATAATATATTCAGAATTTCATATTTCTATTGAATTTAACACCTTCATTACATTTATTTATATTTTCTTTCTTAGATTAGACTGCATTCGATAATGCTACCACTCACTTCAAAGACATATTCTTCAGAATATTGAAAATCACATTTTAACATTAGAGATGAATAATTAAAACAATTCTCTTCACATTAATCACAATGCAATTAAAAATACCTTTCTACTTTCTTGTATGAAGTAAAGGAAGTATCGTAATCACAAAAAATTCAGAGTACCATATTTGAATGAAATTATTCATTTTGATTGCTATCGAATGAAATTTAACGATGTTTCTGAGAGATATCTGTACCTAAGGACAGAATAAAGGACTCTTTTTCCCAAAACGAATTATAAAACTGATTTTAAAGGGATTCAGAAGACATTTTTTTTTGTGGTGTTTGTATGTATATAGGTACCTCACATAACTCAAAAACGAGTAGCTTCAGAATGTTAAAATTTTGTACATAGGACTGCTATAATACATAGTTGGCTGCTTGCCTTTTTGGTTACAATTGGCCACACCAAAAGTAAGTTAGAGGAATTCCTATGGGAGCAAACAGTTCTACACAAATTTGTAACCTATTTCTTTTTACTTTTGAATATAAATTCCAACTTATTTAAATAAAAATGAATTAAAGCTATTTGCTCATACTTTTAGATACATAGCTGATATTATAACTTTCAATAATAATTCTACTTTTGAGCAATTCAAAATTTACTCAAATAGTTTAACACTTAATAAAACGAATACGAATCAAGATACTATTGAATTCCTAGACCTGCAAATTATTAAACACAGCAAAATTAAATTATTTGATAAAAAAAGGAATTTCCATTTTCATACTATTAAACTAATTAATTGGAACTCTAATATCTCTAGAAAAGTAATAGAAAACACGTTTCATAGCCAAATAATCAAAATAAAAAATATATGTACTGAAATAGACGATTTAAGGAAGAAGAAAATAATAAAGCTAATTAATGTTCAAGTTGATAACCAAGTACCACCAAAATTTATTAATTTATATATTAAAAAGGCAGGCCTTGACTTTACTTTATAATTTTTTGGCTCTTTTGGATATGATAACATTACCTTAAACCTTAGCTGGAGGGTAATGAAGGATATAAAAGAGTAGAGAAATTATCTTGTAAATTTTTATTGTAAATATTTTGTAAATATGTATATTTAATCAATACTGGATTCTTTCCTTTTACTAATAAAGGGTCAACTCTTTTCAAAAGTCTCAATTATAGCCCGAATTGAGTGAAGATTTTAATCTTCTTCTTCTAATTTTCCATACTTTAGCCAGTATTTAGTTAAGTTTTGATATACCAATTGAAATCAAGTTCATTATACTTTTAATTTTTTCTTTCATTAAATATAACTTTTAATCAACTTCCTAAAGGAATTTTTGGGAAATTTCTGAAAAATTTTTTAGAGGACTTCGTTTCAAAAATTTTGGGAAATTTTACTTTAAAACTTTAATTTTAAAACATTTCAGTTTTTCTTAATTACCTTAATTACTTTAATTATTTGCAATTTTCACACAAAAAAAATTTTCACTTAACATTTTTTACAGTTTTTTCACAATTTTTCAACAGAACACACATTTCACATTACAAACAGTTTACATTTTTTATTTACAATACCACTTTATTTTCCTTCAAGCAAACTTACATCTCTTGATTGGCTTAGTTACTTAACTCCCTAAATAATTGATAATTACTACCTTTAGAATTTTAATTTTTAATTTAATTTTTAATATTAATGCTTACAAAATAATTTTTTACTATAACAAAGATAGCAGCTTGACACTCAACTTTACCTACATAAGCGCCATCTATATAATTTGAAGAACACACTTACTTCTCTTTTACAACACTTTCGCAGACCCCAACACTAATATAGTAGGTAAATTAGAATTAAAACTTACTATTTACTTGCTTTAAGTATTTTTTTTAATTTTTTATGTAGTATTTAAGTATTTTCTAAATATGAAATTATATTTTTAAATATATATATATATATTTTAAATTGAGAATTAGTTCTTTTTATTTCTTATTGGTTTATATGGATTTCTTTTTTAGTTTCTTTTTATTGATATGCATATTCGTGTCGGGGAGTTTTCTGTAGACAAGGGTTTCTAAATACATTGGTTTCTATATTATTTTTAAAAAATTAATTAATTTTTTTAAAAAGTTCAATTTAATTCTTGACTTTACTTGTTTCTCAAAAAACTTCATTAGAATTTTCCTTTTAGAACTTTATTCTTAAATTTAATTCTTAAATGTTAATTTCTAAGAGTACCACTTTATAGGAATTACTTTTGGTTTTGACTTTTACCCTTGCCTGCATGAATGACGAAACACGAATTGAATGATTGGAGAGTTAGGTTTGGAGGCAATTTCCCCTTGATAAGTCTGTCTCCTGCCTACTCAACGGTCATTCACTTATGCATTTTTAAAAAAATTGTTTAGTTTAATTTTAATTTGCTAAATTAGTGAATTTATTTTCATAGAATGATTTTGCACTTGATTTGCTTATGCTTCTGAATTTAAATGATATTGTAGATTAGTTCGAGAATTAAATCTTTTATATGTTTGCACAAATTTTTTAAAAATTATTTTGCCTTTTTTTCTTTTTTTAGAATTTAAATTTGCTTTTTTACTTTTATACATGTTTGTTAAAAATTAAATTTAAATTTGTTTAAATTTAAATTTCATTCCTTGCAGCAATGGCACAAAGACTATTTAATTAAATTTGTATTTAAATTTAATTTTTTAATTAAATTCAATTTATTCTTATGAAATAAATATATACATAGATGTAAAGACAAAAATAAATTTAGAATTAATTTTTCACAAAGACCATAATGAGCAAAAATATTAGGCATGTGTATATTTTGCTTTTTTTAAAAATTGTTTTGTAATTATATGTATATATTAGATTCTCTTCTTTTCAAATATATATAGATATATACCCACTTTGTCACTCGGGTCCGTGAGCTGGGATTTTTTTTTTTTTTTTTAATTCTTATATGTTGGTAAACTGTGCATTTTTTGCTTTAAAAATGATTGAATTATGTTGTTCTTATGTTATCGTTAAGGTTTATATGCCTATAGTTAAGCTGCATGCTGTAGTTGTAGAATTATCAACAATTTAAAAGTTGTTTGAAAGTGCAGTTAAGCCTAATTTTTTACCATAGCAGCCATATATGTTTACATTTGAAAGTTAGCAGAACAGTGAATTACCGTAATTTCCGGAAGAAACGGCGCGGCGTTTACGTGTTTAAAACTTAAATTTTCAGCGGGTGCGGCGTTTCTATCCATGCGGCGTTTAGGTGCAGTAAAAATAAAATATTTCCTATGATGGTCATTGTACATAGTTTGGATGGCCTTGTCATTGTGCATAGACTGGTGCTGTTCCACACAAAAGACCACTCAGTTGCTTTTTGCGAACGTTATTTTGTTTACATTCTTTCCCTTGAACGGACCTACATGCCTTATTCACCCTAAACAAGATCTCAGAACAATAACATTCTTCCCCCTTTCAAATCAACATTCTCATCAGTTTGAATAGTCTCTCTACTCTGCTATTCGATGAATCTTCCAAGAACCATCCTCCCCCCACCCCTGCCTTTTCTGCAATTTTTTTCAAAGGCGGACACGACTCCACCTGCCTCGCAATAAGGAACTCTGAAGTATTTCCCCTTCAGCATGAATGGATTTTTCTTGGCATTCTGCCAAATACAGATCCCATCAGTTTGGGTACAAGTACTTGTTGGATAGTTTTTAAGTAAGAAGGGAGCGGAAAATTTTTGAAAATGTCTCTAAACGGCATAGAAGCTATACATTTCTTACCTTTAATTTATTTTTGAGTTATGGCTTCATTTCATGCATTTTCTTAACTGGTATGTCATATATCAGGACTTAGGTTGAGTTTTTGCATCTATACGGCCCACGACGATGTCACGCGCAATTTAATCTATTGCGGCATTTACGCTGATGCGGCGTTTCTGTGTAATTTGAATTTTTTTCCCGCCATTTTTTCTCGAGTGCGGCGTTTACGCTGATGCGGCCTTTCTTCCAGAAATTACCGTAATTCTTTCTGCACAGTCAAAAGTGTCTTTTTGCCAAGTGGGACCAAAAGGAAATGCTTAGTTTTGTGCACCGAAAAAATCTGCCTTCTTGCCTGCTGGCCGAATTGTTTGTTTTTGCATAAAAACTGTAATTTTAATTGTAATTTTTTTTAAGTGTTTGA